AGTAGTAGTAGTGGTCGTAGTAGCAATGGTAGTAGTAGTAGTAGTAGTAGTAGTAGTAGTAGTAGTAGTGATAGTCGTAGTAGTAGTAAAATAAGTAGCAATAGTAGTAGCAGTAGTAGTAGTAGTAGTAGTAGTAGTAGCAGTAGTAGTGGTAGTAGTATTAGTAGAAATAATAGTAGTAGTAGTAGTAGTAGTAGTAGTAGTAGTAGTAGTAGTAGTGGTGGTAGTGGTAAGTGGTAGTAGAAGTAGTTGTAGTCGTAGTCGTAGTTGTAGTAGTCTTAATCGTAATAATGGTCGTAGTAGCAGTCGTAGTAGCAGTAATAGTCGTAGTAGCAGTAGTAGTAGTAGTAGTAGTAGTAGTAGTAGTAGTAGTCGTAGCCGGTGTCGTAGTAGTAGTCGTAGTCGTAGTAGAAGTCGAAGTAGCAGTAGTATAGTAGTATTAGTTCGTAGTAGTAGTGGTAGGTAGTCGTAGTCGTATAGTTCGTAGTAGTAGTAAGTAGTAGTAGTAGTAGTAGTTAGTAGTAGTTAGTAGTAGTTAGTAGTAGGAGTTAGTAGCAGTAGAGTAGTAGTAGTAGTAGTAGTAGTAGTTCGTAGTCGTAGTAGTAGCAGTAGTAGAAGTAGGAGTGTAGTAGTAGTAGTAGTAATCGTTGTAGTAGTAGTATAGTAGTTCGTAGTAGTCGTCGTCGTCGTCGTCGTAGTAGTAGTAGTAGTAGTAGAAGTAGCAGTAGTAGTAGTAGTAGTAGTAGTAGTAGTAGTAGTAGTAGTAGTAGTAGTAGTAGTAGTAGTAGTAGTAGTAGTAGTAGTAGTAGTAGTAGTGTAGTGGTGGTGGTAGTAGTAGTAGTAGTAGTAGTAGTAGGAGAAGTAGTAGGAGAAGTAGTGGGTAGTAGTAATTCCGAAGGAGGAATCCAAAAGGAATTCCGAAGGAGGAATCCAAAGGAATTCCGAAGGAGGAATCCAAAGGAATTCCGAAGGAGGAATCCAAAGGAACTCCGAAGAAGGATTCCTGAGGATTCCGAAGGAATTCCGAAGGAATCCTAAAGAATTCCGTAGGAATCCCAAGGAATTCCGAAGGAGTCCTAAAGAATCCTGAGGAATTCAGAAGGAATCCTAAGGAATTCCGAAGGAATCCTAAAGAATCCTGAGGAAGTCCAAAGGAATCCTAAGGAATTCCGAAGGAGTCCTAAAGAATCCGGAGGAATTCCGAAAGAATCCTAAGGAATTCCGAAGGAGTCCTAAAGAATCCGGAGGAATTCCGAAGAATTCGAAGGGATCCGGAGGAATTCCGAAGATCCCATCCGTGGTTGGAATTGGTCTCATTTTTGGTTGGGTTGGAATTGGTTTCATTTGTGGTTGGAATTGGCCTCGCTTCTGGTTGCAATTCGCTCCGAACGGTTGGAATTGGGACTAGTCGGTTGTAATTCGTTCCATTTCGGGACCCCCCCCCCCGGTGGGGAGGGTAGGGAGGGGCTTCGCCACGACTACGATTTTTTTATGTTTCGTGTTCGATTTCCTTTTATTTCGAGCGACGACGATGACGACGCCGGCGACGACGGCGACGGTGATCCACGCAAGACGACGACACCGTGATGCCTCTTCCACACGCCGACGCGGCCGGCGGATCTTTAATCTTTCGCCAAACATCCGCCTGGAGGGGGACAGGCCCGACCTAACGTCAGAAGGGTGCAGCACAGTAGCTTTTTAAAAGTCGGTGCTCTCGCCCGAGCCACAGGCCCATAGTAGGTGCTGGTCTTCCCATGGTGGGCGCTTCTTGTGATCACAAGTAGCAGGCCTGTATGGACTTATGATGATCAGCGATCCCCATCCCCATCCCTATCCCCTTTAAGACCCCCACCAAATTACCCCCCAGCTGGGGATGCACCCCTCGAAACCCGAAGGGAACTGCCTATATCCCCATCCAGTGGGGTACATCGGCCAGTGGGGCCCAGGCCACGCCGCTGGGGATGGGGGTCGGATAAACGATGCTCATGTGAGGGGGGGACGCAGGACGGGAGGGTGCGTTGCAGCATTCGTTGATGCACCTTTGGCTTACCTCTGGTACTCCTCCTCCGCCTCGTCCTCTCTTCTCCTGGTCCTCCACTTCCTTCTCCCCTTCGTATGCGCCGTCGAGCCATTCTTGACCTCTGCTTCCGCTTCTCCCTCCTCGGCCTCGTCCTCCTGGACCTCGACCTCGTTCACAGGGTAGGGGCGGGGAGGGCGGGGGGGTCGCGGAGGGCGAGAGGGTGGCCGGAGAGCGAGGAGGACTTTGAGAGGGCGGGGGAGGGCGAGCTCCGAGGCTCCGTGCCAGCATTTCCCCCCCGTCCTCCATCCATCCGTTCCGTCTCCTTACGTCTCCTTTCCGACTTCGTCATCCTCACCGTTCTCAGTGTAATCTTGCCCATATTCGTCTCCGTCCATGTCCCCGTCCTCGATTTTGTCGTCATCTTCGCCCTGATCCCCTTTATCCTTTATCTTCCTTCTGCTGAGCCTCCTCGTTTCCCGCATCATCTTTCTCCCTCGCGACCTCGTCCTGGCCCCGAAGTTGCGCAGTGGCACCCCGTACCCCCCCACACCTCCTCTTCTTTCTCGACCTCTCTCTCTCTCTCGTCCTTGTCCGTCGCCGCCGCCTTCTGCTTCTGCTGCCCGAGTTGCTGCTCTCCTCTGTCCTCCATTTTTTTCCTGCCCTCATCCCCCACCTCATCCATTGGATTGCCAACTCTATGCTTTTTCGCCTCGGGCGAGCGTGGCAGGTGATGCCGGCCACGGCAGCCACATCACTCTGTGCACCTCGACACTGCTGGTCACCAGACGCCTGGAGTGCGATTTCGATGCCAGCAGATCTCGCGAACCGCGATCGCGGCACCGCTCTGGCCGATGTACCGACTCGCCCTTCGGAGAGTTTGGTTGGCACGGCGACCAGAGACCGCGCTTCGTGTTCCCGCCGGCCGGCTGCGGCCGGGCCAGGCGATCGGGCGTACTCCGGGAGCGACGCGGACGGCCGTCGGAGCGAAAACGCTCGGGCGTGCTGGCACAAAGAGCAGAGCCGGCGGCGCGCAGAAGGTGGCGGTACGAGGGGGGCGGCTTTCTGAGAACCACAGGAGGCAAAAGAACCCATACCCCAGGAGGTCTTTTAGTTATTGCACCCCCTCCTGTTTCTCTCGGCAGGGACTAAACTCGCCCCCCCTCCTGCTCCTCCTTCTCCTCCTCTTCCTCCTCCTCCTCCCCCCTTCCTCCTCCTCCTCCTTCTGCTCCTCCTCCTCCTCGTCCTCCTCCTACTCCTCCTCGTCCTCCTCGTTCTCCTCCTCTTTCCCTTTTCCCTCTCCTCTTCCTCCTCCTCGTCCTTTCCTCCGTTTCCCTTTCCTCCTCCTCGCGGCGGCAGGGGAATAGTTTCCCTTGAATGTTCCTCGGGCGAGATATTGACCCCCCACGTCCTGCTACTCTGCGCGTGCCACCAGCAAGCCTTTTGCTAGTACTCCTCCTTGTTATCTTCCCCGTCCTCGTCTAGGTCCCCCCTCTGCCAACATCCGATGGCATGCAGCGATGTGGGCACGGGGGAAGGTGAAGTATTCGACCCGTACCACGCGCTGGACGGCGACTCGGAGGCAAGGCGGGAGGGAGGGAGCGAGGAGCGGAAAGTGAAGGATAGATAGAGAGAGAGAGGGAGGGAGGGAGCGAGAGAGAGCGAGAGAGAGAGAGAGAGGGAGGGAGGGAGCGAGAGAGAGAGCGAGAGAGAGAGAGAGGCGGGGGAGCAGAGGAGGGAGGAAGAGGAGGGGTATGGTGGGAGGGAGGAGGAAAGCAGGTGGGGTATCGATCGTTTTTTGTAGGAGCATTCATATCAGTATCATGAGCGTGGTTTCTCGCACTCCCAACCCTACTGTGTTGGAGCCTAGTTTGGACTAGAGCACTTGCTGCTCCCTCTCGTTCCTCCCGCATCCTGCCTCTTTCCTGCTTGTTTTTTCCCGACATCTTCTCGTTTCGCTCATCTTCGATGGTTAATCGCTTCGCCCCCCCTCGCTCTTCTTCGGCGCTGCCGGCTACAAAACTGCTGCTAATTTTGAGGTTTGGGGGCCCAGCGGAGCGACGTCCCATGCAGCTCCAAAGGAGACGCCGCCATCCCTGCGTGGTGCCACCCGCGCAACCGCGTCGTCACTTTCTTGAGCTCCTGGGAGGTCAGGCGGAGAGACGTCCTACAGGGACCCAACCGAGACCTTGCTTCCCTTGGTGCTGCCAACCGCTCAAGTGACGCCACTTTGTGGGCTGGGAGGTTCGGCGTACCAGCGGCCTTCGTAGGCCCAAACGAGACCTCTCCCTTCTGGGGTGCTGACCACAGCACAAGTGCCGCTACTTTGGGGAGCTCCTGGGAGGTCCGGCGCAGTGATGTCCCACGGGGATGCATGCGAAACCTGACCTTCCTTGCGGGCTGTCCAGTGCGCAGCTGCTCCACTTTCCAGGGCCCCCGCGGAGAGACGTCGCACGGGGCTTCCGCACGCGACTTTGCCCTCCCAGGGTGCTGTCAACTGCGCAACTGACGCCGCGTTCGTGAACTCTTGGGCTATCCAGCGCAGTGACGTCCTCCGAGGACGACACAAGATCTCCGCCAGCACAGTGTCACACGCACGGGCATTCCCCTCGCGCCCGCGAAGCCACGGCCAGGCCATGCCGTGCCCGAGGCGGCGATCGCTGACGCTGCCCACACGGGCGCCGACGACACGGACGGTGACAATCGCGCACCGACATGACCGCCCACCCGCGACCGAGACGAGACCGAAGCGAAGGTCCTGCTGACTTCCGCTAGGGGCACCAGCTCTTGCCACGCTTCGCGTGCGCAGCACGGGATAGCCGCCGCCCCGAGGCCCGCGCCGGCCGCCCCGGGCGGTGCGAGCGGCGACGGTGGCGCCGTTATAGTGCAGAGCTTGCTGGTTTCGGCGATGCCCGGCGCCAGGTTCTGGTCGGATACCGGGTTCCGCGTGCAGTGCCATTTCTGAGATGCCATGCGGCCCCTGCAGGCCGCTGCGACCAGCACACAAGGGGAGGGGACGACCGAGCTCCAGAAGTTAGCTGCGGGCCAGATGGCGTCCTGCTCCCAGGAACTGGAACACTCGGTTGGGGTCAACGATCTGCTCACAGTCCCAGAGGACGGATAGAAGGAGGAGAAAGAAAAAAATGAGGAGGAGCACGTCAGCTAGAATATAGCATGCGGCTCGGATCAGCGACCACCAGAGTAGCCTCCACAAAGCTTTACGGCCGCATGACCAGTTGCAAGACTCTACCACGCGAAAACGGATTGGCGAGATGTTTGCCCCCCTCCTCACCTGTGGTTCCTCCTTTTCTTTCTCCTCCTCTTGTGTTGCTCCTCGTCGTTTCGCTCCTCATCCTCTTCCTCAAGTCGCACATCGAATCGTGAACTGTGTTTCCCCCGCTTGTCTTTAATGCGCGTTTGGCTCAAGACATTTGTGAGGATAGGACGCTGCTTGTGCGGTAGCGGAAGATGGGTGCGTGCGCCTCTCTCTTAGCGCGCGCGTATCATCACAATTTATTGTCGCATATTCTTAACGGAAGTACTCAGCCATGTCGCAATGTATCGTGAAGGGCTCCTTTTTTTCAAGGAAATCACCGAACAAGGGAACTCCTGAGCTGGGATACCAGAGAAAGGAGAACGTTCGAATGTCAGACTATACAGAGCGTCTGACAAATCACTGGTTATTCGCCGACATGATGACGCAACACCAGCACGATGACAAACGGTTATGCAGAACGTCACGGCAGTGAAACGTCCAGACACGGAGGCTGTAGAATGACGACCAGTATCAAGAAATGCACCCCCAGGGAGATGTAAGGGGGCATTCCCTAACTACTTCTAACCTGGTTCCGCCCTAGCCCCCCATCTCACCAACCCCGCCCTGGACCCTTTCTCTAACAACCCCGAGGTTCGCCTTGAAGGGGGGGTCCGGGGAGGGGGGCACTCCTGACCTCCCCGAGCCCCCCAGAGCCCTCCCTGAGGCAGGGTTCCGCCAGATAAAGCCCTCGTTAACCTGCCCAGCAACCTTCCCTATACGGGAGGGCTCCGGGAGTGGGGGACATGCCGCCCCCCCTCAGCCCGCCCAGATCCCAAGCCCCTCTTAGAAGGAAGCTTCTGGGGGCGGGGCCCCCGGAAGCACACCCTGAAAGAGGGCTTCCGGAGGTGGGGAAACACCCCAACGCCCACGCACATTCCCACTATAGGGAGGGTTCTGGGCGGGGGGGGCGGGGGGGCGCAGCCCTCCAAGGGCCCCTCCTTGAGGGGGGATTCCGGCGGTGGAGCCTCCCCGCCACCCTTAACCCATGAAAAACCGCCTTGAAGGAGGGTTCCGGCGGCGAGGGAGGGGAAGTGGGGGGACATCTCGACCCCCAGTGTAGCCTTTCCCACGCCCCCCCTCCGGGGACCCTCCAAACTTAAATTCCAGAAGCGCCCCCTGAGGGAGGGTTCCGGGGGAGGGGGGGGGGCGCCCCTTCTTTTACACCCTTAGAATCCTCTCCCGAAGGAGGGCTCTGGGGAAAACCCTCACCCCCCTCCCTAGCCCCCTCAAAAACCTCCAACGAGGGAGGAACCCTCCTTAAGCTTTGAGGGGGACGGGAGGAACATCAACCCTTGCTATTCCAGAGCCCCCCCCTTGAGTGGGGGCTCGGGTGGTTGGAGGGGCAAAACCCTTCTGAAGGGAGGTTCTAAGAGGATTTTCACGGGGGGGCATTGCACTTTTGCTTTTTATTCTGGCGCCCGGGACCCCCCAAAAACATATCCAAACTTCCCCCCCCTTCGGCCCAAGAGAAACACACAAAAAAAAAAACTCGAAGAGGGGCCAGGGGGGCGGTCTTGGAGGGGTTCGGGGTCAGTCCAATCCATGTCATCCGTCGGCGCGGACCCCTCCTTATGGGCTCTCGGAGGGCCCTGGGGCGGGGGGGGCGCCGGCCTTCTTCGGACGGCCTGGCGCACAGCACTGGGCCCAAGTGTCAAGCCCTTTCTCTTCTTCTTCTTCTTCTTCTTCTTCGTCTTCTTCTTCTTCGCGCACCGCGGGCGATGATCAGGGCTGGGGGCGCCTGGCACTAGGCTTGTCGCCCGTCGCCGGGGCCGCCCGCCCTTTCTCCTCGAGGTGTCGCTTGAGGCCAGTGCCACCAAGAGTAAGCACACAACTCCTGGATTGTCGCAGTCCATTCGATTTGCTTTGGCCGTGTGTCCTCATCACCGCCAACTCGCGCCATGCACTCAACGCTGCTGATTGCCACGGCCCATCTTTGCCTGTCCACTCCCCTTCCCCTTGCTCATCTCACCTCCCGCTCCTCTCCTCACCTCTCCTTCCCCTCCCATCCCCCCCCTCTTTCGCTCCCCCCCTTCCCCTCCCCTCTTTCGCTCCTCTCTTTCGCTCCTCTTTCCCCCGATTTGATTGTCACGTGGCTCCTCCTCCTCCTCCTCCTCCTCCTCCTCCTCCTCCTCCTCCTCCTCCCCCCTCCTTCCTCAGCAAAATTGTG